ACACACACACACACACACACACACACACACACACACACACACACACACCCCTGGCTAGGTTTTAGCAAATTCTTTGGCCTGCTGAAGCTGGCAGGATATTGTGCCTGCTATTAGAAGGCCTTGAGGCCAAGGTGATGAGTCTTTCTTGCAAATGAGTGAATAAATGATTTTTCATTCTTGTAATTGCTTTACATTTTAGTTTTGCTCCCCTAGAATGAACCTTGCTTTCTGGCCTTAGGAAACATTCTTTCTTAAGACTTGAAGTTAATGAGAATTTGGGGAGTTGTTATCTATTATTATTTGTGTTCTGGTAGTTTTAAAAATATTTTTTGTTTCCATAGGGTGCAGGGTCAGATGACAGCCAGATCTAATCCTCTTAAACAACCACACTTTATAAGCCATTTATTATTGCCTCATATAAGAGACTTGCCCCACCTGGTCCTTAAGATTAACCAGTCTAGGCTGGGGATTTAGCTCAGTGGTTCCGCTGCCTGCCTTGAAAGCACAAGGACCTGTGTTCGATCCCTGGTACCAAAAAAAGATTAACCACTCTAGCCTGGTGGTGGTGCACACCTGTAATCCCAGCACTTTGGAGGCTGAAGCAGAAGGATCATCAAAAGTTCAAGGCCAGCCTGGGGACTACATAGGAATTCAAGGCCAGCCTAAACTATATAGTGAGACACTTTGCAAAAAAAGATTAACTGGTTGGTTTCCTTTGCCAAAAAGTTGTGCCACCTTCCTTGGCTGTCACTGATAACCCTGGTCTTGAAGATTAAGTGGAAAAAATCCGTAAGTAGGGGAAGGGCACGTATAATTGTCAGTTCCTGCTTAAAAGGACAGAAACTGACATGCTTTTGTCAAATTGTACCACAGATGGGATTTTAAGAAGAAGTTATCTTAGAAAATGGAATTGCCAGGCCTGAAATATATCCTGATCATTTAGTCTGCCTGTTGATATCTTCTGAGAAATAACTTGCCCACAATTACTGTAATTACCACATTTTCCAGAATGAGTACCTGATCTTTTAAGCCAGTGGAGTGTATATATGTGAAAGATGCACCTGACTCATATAGCATGTCAATCTGAGAAGGATTGAGATAGTTTATTTCATCCGCCTGGTCTCCTAGAATGATTTTCTTAAATTCCCGTGCTTGCCATTTTCCATAGTCAGCTGGATCTCAGGAAACCCAACTAACTTCTGTGAATAAAGTCTATATCAAGGTTAATTAGATAAGGAGACATGAGGGCCGGGGATTTAGCTCAGTGGTTTCGCTGCCTGCTGCACAAGCTCAAGGATCGGAGTTCGATCCCCGGTACCAAAAAAAAAGCAGACATGACAGCAGTCCTATCCTGAATTGAAAAGAACAGCACTTGAAGATTTGGAAGTTCCTGTGCTGAAATATTCAGCAGATAATTATTACCTTTCATTTTTTTAGGAGGGTTGAGATTTTGAATTTTGATCAGCAGAATTTGCAGATACTTAGTTCTACCTAAATAGGATAAAACTAAAAACTTTCTGATTTGTTAGTATGTTCTATTTTATTATTAACAGCACCACATCAAGCATCTTATAGTCATAGTAATTAAAGACTACACAGGTTGTCAACTGGCAAAGGTCTCTTGCCTCAGTCTTAATTTGCTCTACTCAGCTTCATCTGCTTTATTTTTTGTTTGTTTGTTTGTTTCACTTATAGTAAGATCATGATTTTTGAGAATGTCATCTCTTTGTTTTTGATGCATTTGTTCTTTATTTTTTACGTTTCAAAATGAAGTTCACTTCTTTTTCTTCTACTTTTCTCTAAGAAGAGCATCACCTAAGTGTTGGGATGAGTTACTTTCATTATAAGCTGTAATTTGCTAAACCACCACCAGTAGCACAGACTTTCTAATATAACTAGATTTATACCCTAGGTCATTTTCTTCCTTTAATTATTTCTTTTTGTCTATTAGAAATGAAGCTATTTTTCCCCATCATTTGACCTTACTTAGTCTTTTTTTTGTGTGTGCTCAGAATTGAATTCAGCCACTTGTACATGCTAGGCAGATACTCTACCACTGAGCTATCTTTCCAGCTCAGTCTTTTCTGTCTTGTTCTCAGCGGTTAGGTCACAAAAAAAAAATGTTTTTTCTTCTCTTCTCCCACTGTTAGGTTGAGCCAGAGGTTAGGGGGATTGTCTCTCCTTCACCTTTCCTGGCATTCAGATGCTGCCCAGATGTCTAGGTTGATTTCCCCATCTTCGATGCCTAGAAAGATGATCCTGCTGGCTGCAAGTTTACTTTCTGATTCTCATGGGCACTTTTCTGGCTCTCTTGCAGTATAGCGTAAGCACTGTCCACCTGTGAAGGGAGCGCTTCAAGGATCCAGACACACTCCTGGGCATGTGGCGGGCACTGAGCCGAGCGGAAGGCGGCCACGCTCGGAAAAAGGCCAGTGGTGGAGTTTTCTTTCTCCTTTCAGCTATGGTTTTGTGGTGCTTACAAACCCCCATGAGAAATGGGCTTCTCCAGAGGTCTAATGGAAATTCTGTCCTCCAAATAACCCCTGTTCACAATTCTTCTGAATAGTTGACTGGCAAAGCACTGCCAAGTCTTATGTCTCTATAAGACACCCATAAGACCAGTAGCATAATTTCTTAGCTGATCCTTAACCTTTCATGCTCTCCTTTGAATTTTCCTTTCTATGCCAAAGTTTAGAATAGATACTGTTTTCACCAAGTGGGGCGAAAGGAAAGAAGGGGAGCAAGGA